AAAAAAAAAAAAAAAAAAAAAAAAAAAAAAAAAAGAGAATGACTTCATATGTTTAAAAAAAAAAAAAGAATATGAAGTCCGTGATTCTGGAAGTAGCAGCCATGTTCCGGACTCTGCCTCTTTGTTGTGAGACAATCCTTCTTGTCCCTGGCCAGCTCCGTCCCATAGCTGGCAGGTGTGAGAGCAAGCCCAGCCATCCTCAGGGTGAGGAGACAGAGTTGGCAATAGTTGGTTCATTTGTCCAGGACTTCATGGTCATGGGGCTGGGATTTGAGACTCCAAAGCCCATGCATTTTTAGGGCCCCCATAAAGGTGGGACTGCCTTGGAGGTCCTGGGGGAGGGGAAATGGGCCACCCCCCACTGTGAGTTCCCAGTCAGTGAGAACAGACAGAGCACATGCTGGAATCCTGGTGAAGCTGGCCTGGGAATGGCCTCCCTATTCCTTCCCATCTCCTTCCTCCAGCTTAGCCCCCAGGCAGCCCCAAGAGCCCTGGGGGAGAGAAAGGCTGGCAGAGGTTGGTGTGACAGGCCAGGTAAGCAGAGGGGAATTCATGGCTCCCCTCCCACCTCCCAAATCACCCCAGCCTAGATGCTCAAGCTCATGTCCAAGACAACGGGGTGAATGGCATCTGCCAGGGAGTCGGGACACCTGGGGCTGCTTCTGGCAGTAGGGCCCTGATGTGTTGTTTCAAATAATATCAGGTTGGATCCCCACATATGTGACAGAGAAAGTAGAGTTCCTCTGGTCAGCGTTGAGGCGGGGGCCCAGAGACCCCATCCAGCCCTCCCAGTGGCCTCTCCCTCCACACCACCTATCCCAAGTCTGTTCCACTGTCCAGTCCCATCTAACCATTATCACCAGAGTCATGTTCTTCCTTTCTAGGATATGTTTGCTGCAGTGGTGTCCCTGGTCACTGGGAAAATCCTGTACATCTCTAAGCAAATGGCATCTGTGTTCCACTATGAAAGAGACACCTTCAGTGACAGCAAGTTTGTGGAGCTCCTGGCGCCCCATGATGTCTGCGTGTTCCACAGCTCTACCACGCCTTGCAAGCTCCCCTCATGGGGCACGTGCAGCCGAGCAGGTGAGCTCCTGGTGCTGTGCCCCGTCCTCCTCTGTGGGGACAAGGGGCCGGCCCCTGCTTCTGCCCGGGAGACCAGCCAGATTCCACCTTAGGGCCTCCAGCCACCCACCCTGTCAGAGGAGGAAGATAAACACTCATTTGTCTCTTCAGAATAAATTTAGAGGAAAAAAACAAAGTCTTTTCATAAATTTCTGAGAGGGAAAAATATTTAAGAAGGTATTAAGAAATGTTAGGCATTTTAGTGATAAAGATGTTCTGAAAAGTTGGAATCTTGACATGGCTATGCAGACCACGGGGAGGACTGGGGTGCTTCCCGAAGGCCTCGCTCATGCTCCCCACTTCCTGCGGGCAGGGTCCCCTATGGTCCTGGCAGCTGCAATGAACAGGGGTGGCATGTGCCAGGGTGACTTCCCGAGGGCCCCTCATCTTGGCTAGAGGCAGCTTGGTGAGTATGAACCACGAGACTTCGCAGGCACAGAAGCCTCATGTCCATCTGCACAGAGAGCAGCAGCTTTCCATCTGAACTGCCTACGATCCAGGCCCGGCCTGGCCCCTCCCTGCCCCGTAGACCCTGGAGCTGGCTGTGGGCGTGCCTGCCTTGGGGCCTCAGCACTTGCTGGCTGCTCACTCCTGCTCCTTGAGCCCCCTTGTGCCCCATCTCCTGCCCTGCCCGCCTAAGTCAAGGTGTACTTCAGAGCTGACTCTGGTCCCGCCTCTGTCCTGACCGTGCCCGAGCGCCCTCACTTGCCAGCCCCCTCCTGCTCTACTGGCCGCAGGGCTCTTGCAGTTAACTTTGCATGTCTGTGTGCTACCTCTTCAACTTGATGGGAAGACTTGGTGTCTGAAAGGGTTTCAGCGTTCTCACCACAACCAGCACAGGCCTTGCACATAAGGAGGAGCACAGAAGGGGACTGGTGGGCCAAACGGGGTCCCAGCAGAAGGTACACCAGAGGGCCGGCCCGTGGCTCACTCGGGAGAGTGTGGTGCTGATAACACCAAGGCCACGGGTTCAGATCCCTGTATAGGGATGGCCGGTTAGCTCAGTTGGGAGAGTGTGGTGCTGATAACACCAAGGCCACGGGTTCAGATCCCTGTATAGGGATGGCCGGTTAGCTCAGTTGGGAGAGTGTGGTGCTGATAACACCAAGGCCACGGGTTCAGATCCCTGTATAGGGATGGCCGGTTAGCTCAGTTGGGAGAGTGTGGTGCTGATAACACCAAGGCCACGGGTTCAGATCCCTGTATAGGGATGGCCGGTTAGCTCAGTTGGGAGAGTGTGGTGCTGACAACACCAAGGCAAGGGTTGAGATCCCCTTACTGGTCATCTTTTAAAAAAAAAAGAAGGTACACCAGAGAGGGGCAAGGGCCCAACCACCTCAGGCCTTCCCTGCTGCTCCACGTGTTCAGTGACCAGGGCAGCCGGCAGGTCCCCTTTTGAAGTGTGCATCCTGGGGCGTCTGTCTGCCTGTGCCTGATGATCACTTAGCGCCTGCCTGGATCACTCTGACTGCCCCACGCTGGAGTAGACCTGGAGAGCAGAAGCTCCCGAGGAGCCAGGAGAGATGAAAAGGCAGCAGGTAGGGCCGGGGTCACCCAAGACACATGGCCTCTCTCAGAATCTTGACTGTGCACCAGCCCTGGCCACGTCACCCAGCACTGTCCTTGGCAGGCAGGCCAGCAATCTCTCCTTACATCAGAGGGTCCTTGGCCCTCCCCCCAGCAGCCCGAATGTGGGGGCTCACACAGACTGAGCCCCTCCACCACCTGCCGACTCTCCACCTCCTCCTGCTCCCCTCCAGTCGGCAGTGGGGGCCAGGGAAGGACAACCACTCACACCACTCTGCCAGCTGCTCAGCAGTGGCACCTCTGACCGCAGGTAGCCTGGGATGACACGCAAGTTGATTTGGGGTTGCCTCAAAAAGAGGAGACACTCGCTTTCGGTTTCAGACACAGTGCTGCCTCCTTTCTGCCAAAATTCCAACCCGAGGACTGTTTGGTCAGATCATTAAAGTTTGCAGTGTGAGTTAGGATGGCTGGGTCAGGGTTGGGCCACCGCGTGGAAGGGAAATGGCTCCTCGTGTGACCTACAGCCTGGGCAGGCCGGCTCTATCTCCCGGGATAGTGCCAACTATTTTGTCTGAGTAAAAACAAAGGTGAATTCTCAGAGGTCTTTCCAAGCCAATAGTTTTGTATCATTTTCCATAACAAGTAATTGTCACTTTCCCTCATTTCTTTTGAGTAATTATATGAAAGATCAACGTCTAAGATTTCTTTATTTAGAATTCCTTTAAACTATTATGGAAACATCCATTCCCTTATTTCTAATGAGGTTGCCCAATTGATCTCACATTTTTACTAGTCATTTTAAATTTTAAAGTAAGTTAATATTTTACCAAAGTATTGATGTAAGCTTTGTAGTGCCCTGAGTTGTTTCTATTATAACTGAATATCCCAAAAATATGTAGTTTGAAACATTGAGGGCTTTCTGTGTAAGTATTCTGTGCATCAGTCAGCGTGTCTTCCAGAGTTAAATTGTTAATTGGTTGTTGTATTTGCAGCAGCATTACGAAGCATTTCAGAAAAAACACCAGACTGTAAAATTTTAGCACTGCGTAATTCAGTATGCGCCACACTCATGAAATATATTTATTTTTTATCAGAAACGTAATAATGGATTTTTAGTCTAGAGGTTTCACTCTGTGCTAGGGTAAATTTGCAGTTTTACACCTTGACTCTTTATGCTATTGCTTGTCTTTAGTCAACAAGAAATAAAGAGCACTGTCTATATGTAGTTGTTTAATTGAGGGATGACACTGGGCCTTTTCTTTTAGATTCTTTTACTCAAGAATGCATGGAGGAGAAGTCTTTCTTTTGCCGGGTCAGGTAAGCCCAGTTGCCCATTTTCCTAAATTAGAAAACGGTATAAACCTGTTAGGAATTTAGGGTTTAGGTGTGCTCCCCACGACTCCTTGCTCTGCTCGAGGCTGGAAGGGGCCTGAGCCCTGCCTGCTCCCGTTCTGCAGGGGTGGAGGCTCTGCTGGCAAGGACCCAGCATGCCTGTTCCTGAAAAGTCCATAGGAAAACACATTTAATAAGTTTCAGTTTAAATATGCACAAGGTGCTAAGAGACTGTGGCCAACAATAATGGGATTTAACCTGCTCCTCCTGGGAAACATTAGCCAGAGGAACCTGCACGTGCTGTCTGTGACTTGGGAGGGCTCAAATCCTAGGGCCCTTGAGCACCCTGAAAGCACGTGCAGGCTTTGGTCTGCGTGTACACTTTTTTTTTTTTTTTTTTTTTTTTTTTTTGAGACCGGCCGCACCGCACTCAGCCAGTGAGCGCTGTGAGCGCACCAGTCATCTCTATATAGGATCCGAACCCATGGCGGGAGCGCTGCTGCACTCCCAGCGCCTCACTCTCCCGAGTGCACCACGGGCTCGGCCCTGCGTGTACACTTTTTAAGGGAAAGACCCATATCTTTCCCAACAAGCTCTTGTCCTGAAACAGTATGACTGATTATGATTGTCCAGCTGTGGTGTCAGGAGTGGCCCCAGGCCAGAACCTAGTGCCCTCAAGAGTCAGGGCCTAGGACCCCATGGGAGAGCAGCATCCCTTTTCCATCTGCTTGGCCCCCATCAAAATCAAACCACTCTATGGAAGGGCTGGGAGACCTCTCATGGTCAGGGTCAGGGTATTGACTCTTCGATTTGCCCTTCAGTGTGATGGGATCTGAGGGAGAGGACTGAAAGGTGGGATGGCAGGCCCAGCTCCTCAGGCTGGGCAGAGGCACCTGCCGACGCTGATGTGGCCTGGGTCTCCCCATGAGTAGTTGACATAGTGGCCTGGCTTGGCTCCCTGGGCATCTGGTACAACAGATAAAAGAACTGCTAACTAAGATGGAACAGACAGCAGGGACAGCTAACTAGCAAATAAAGGACTGTTCCTATGTTATCATTCCATAGTGTCACTCTTTTCTACAGTGTTGGGAAGAACCACGAGAATGAGCTTCGCTACCACCCGTTCCGCATGACGCCCTACCTGGTCAAGGTTCAGGACCAGCAAGGTGCTGAGAGTCAGCTTTGCTGCCTTCTGCTGGCAGAGAGAGTGCACTCTGGCTACGAAGGTAACAGCCAAGCCCAGGGCAAGGGCCGAAGTTGTCTTCGGTCCCCTCATTTATTCCGTGGTTCAAATGTGCTGTCAATAAGACTGACTCACAGCTCTGGGTCTCCAACCCTGGCTGCTCCCCTAACCTCAGGCAGAGTCTCCATCTTCCCTGAGACTTAGCACACCCCCTGTGTCGTGTGGCCCTCTGCATGGCAGGTCAAAGTTTCTGGCCACCAGCATCTCTCACCTGTGTCCAGGCCATCACTGTGTCCCCTTCTCCCTTTTCCCCAGCCACTCTGCCCTTTGTCCACAAAGTGAGAAAAGCCCTGAGGGGCCCCCATCCCTCCCATCCTTGCCCACTCCCATGCTGCAGCCTCGTGGAACACTCTGATGGGCAGTGACACCACTGCTTGCTCCAAAACCCAAACAGTCCCTTCGCCCCCAAGACGAAGGTGCTGGCCATTCCTCCCTCCCCACCCTGGCCCAGCCAAGCTTCCCCTGAACTTCCCCTCCTCCCAGACATGCACTGGCATCTCCAGACGAGGCAGCCTGCTTGATGTGGCCTTTGCTGTGCCTCGCACCCCCCGCCATCCCAGCCTGTGGAAGTCCCGTCATCACACCTCACCACCTTATCTCACCAGACACTCCTGTCCCGCTGGCTCCTCAGGCTATCCCCCAAGAAACAAAATTTGGGTTCTTCCGTTGAAGCCCAGAGGACCCAAGGCGCTTGCCACCTTGATCAGATCCTTCTTGTGATCCCTTTTAAATGATTGCTTTGTGACACCGCAGTCCAGTGCCAGCCACACTGCCCAGCCAGGACCCATAGGTGCCCACTGTGGCAACACAGTGAGTCATGTGATTTCACAGTTCTCTGAAAGCAGGTGCCATCTGTAACTCCTGAACTGCAGGAGTCCAGTTTACTCCATGTTTAATTGTACTTATAATCTCTCAAGTGACTAATGATGACTGTTTTTAAAAAGCACTTCTTAAAAGTGATAGGAATGTTGTTTTAAGTAGGTGAATTTCTTTAAAATGTTTGGTGTGTTCTTACATAGAGAATGTTCTCTTCCAACTATTCAGTAAAGATTTAAAGGGTACTGAGATTTCAACAACATATTCCTCCAGATTATCGAAGTGCTCTTCAAGAATGAAAACTTTAAATTTTGAATAAGTTTTTCCCATGAACTTGGTAGCTGAGGAAAATTTTGGATATATGACTATCTTTGTGCAAATATATGACTATCTCTGTCACTTTGGCCATCTTAGCAACTGTGAAGTTCTCTAGTGCGATGACATTTGCTGAGAATTTTGAATCCAAGTATGTAAATTTTCTAAAAATAGTTTATTCAGATCACTCTTGTTTCATCTTTTTTTTTTTTAAAGATGACCGGTAAGGGGATCTTAACCCTTGACTTGGTGTTGTCAGCACCAGGCTCTCCCAAGTGAGCCACCCAGCTATCCCTATATAGGATCCAAACCCATGGCCTTGGTGTTATCAGCACCACACTCTCCCAAGTGAGCCACCCAGCTATCCCTATATAGGATCCAAACCCATGGCCTTGGTGTTATCAGCACCACACTCTCCCAAGTGAGCTACGAACCGGCCCCTTGTTTCATCTTAAAAATCATGAAGATGGCTTTCCAGCATGATTTTGCTAAGAGAAGCCTATATGTGGTTCAGGTGGTTCTGTTACCATGGCAGTTCCTAGTTTACAGGACTAAAACCTGTCCACAGTGGAGTTGCGAAGCTGCTGGTGGTGTCTGGCATAGGGTCGCACTGCTCTCCAGGCGGTGGACTCTGTTGTTCAAAGTACACATTTTAATTTTTTATTTAGCTGCCCATTACTCTGAATTTACATGGTGTTTTCTGGTAGTGGTAATATAACTACATTAAATACAAGTGTAGTTCAGAAAGCTCATGGAAAGATTCATATTATCTTGTAATTCTATTTTTCCACGAACTTTTTGAAGTACTCTTGTATGTATTTTCTTAGAATCAGAAATCTGTGCAAAATTCTCTTTCAGCCCCTAGAATTCCTCCTGAAAAGAGAATTTTTACGACCACACATACACCGAATTGTTTGTTCCAGGATGTGGATGAAAGGTAAGTGGTGTCATGTCGTTCGCCCCCCAGCTCCTCCCTGCCCTCGCTGACCCCCCCACCATCGCTTGTCTTGAAATCAGTGACGCGTTCTTCATGTCGTCAGACTCCCTCAGAAGATACCCAGTGTCTCATCACCATGTCAGCAGTTACTTAATAGCAAACTAAATAAAGCCAAATGAATTTTCATGTTTTTGACGTTCAAGCTATTTAACTAAAGCTAAGGCTGCATGTTGGTTTTACTTGTGATAATTGACAAAAATGTTGAACTATATATAGGCAATGAAATAATTATGGAATTACTAGGAACTTCGTAACATATGAACACGGTGTAAATAAGACCTTCTGGAGAGCTGGTAATTGTTCACATTGAGCCTGTCTTTATTATCCTGTTTGAACTCATTTGGAGTAAATGACAGAGCAAGCAGGGATGGTGTGCCTGGGGCCAGTGGTGGGACTGAAACTGGGAATGCCATTGGCAGGATCCCAGCAGAAGCCCATGTTCTGCATGCCAGAGGCAGCTATGGGGACAGCTTTCCCTCCATGTCTCTCCTCAGAGCCCCACTTGGGCTCCTTTCCCTGGATCTCCCACCCAGGGTGCTGTAGCAGGTGCAAATGGATTCAGGAGCACCCACGTTTTGAGTGGGTTCTGTACCCACCCCCACGGGTCTTCTCCTAGCTCCTCTGCAGATGCATGAAGACAGAAAATACTATGGGCTACTGGCAGTGGTCAAAGAGGTGTCCTCAGAGGACACCACAGGAGTGGACAGAGAAGCACCACCATGCTGGACTTCCTGAGATGGACCAGGGCATCTCCCAGATGCTGTGGGGGATTGGATCCTCCCACTGTCTGCGTCCGGCCCAGGGACACAAAGTTTCCACCGCTAGAGTCAAAACGGAGCTTGCTCTGTGGGCAGCCGGGGATCCATCACCTCCAGCCCCAGATCACTTGGGTGTCTTCTATAGACCACCTGTGGCAGGTTTCTGAGCCCCACCTGCCCTGCTGAACCAGGATCTTGGACAGTGGGGCCTGGGAGCTGCATTTGTAAAGCAACCCCAGGAGGTTTTATTCCTCCAAACAATGAAGAACTGTCTGCAAACCCCCAGGTGTCTAGCTCAGTCTTGTGCAGGGAAGTTGGTGGGCAGGTGTACATGGCATTATGGGTGACAGTTTGCAGAGCTTTCCTTCCTATAGCCCTGCAAGCCGCCCAGCTCAGGGAGCCCCACGTCCTCTCCCTCCTCTTCCTCCTCCCCACTTCCTCCTCCTGCTTCTCCTCCTCCTGTTTCTCCCCGTCCTTCTTCCCCTCCTCTTCCTCCTCCTCCTCTGTCTGGGTCTTGACTTGGGGGGGTGCCAGGAACATTCTGTACATCCTGTCCAAAGGACAACTTGAGGCGTGGAGAGAGTACACCTCAGACAGAGGAGGAAATCAAAGAATAACATCAGGCCCGCGAGGATGTTCCACACCACAAGGAAGGGGGGAGCTTTAGGTAAAGACTCAAAGGGAAAATGTCCTTCCACATGAGCAGAAGAGTTTGAGAAATGTCTGTTTGGGTACGAGAAGGTAGAGGCCAAGGGTGGCTCAGAAGGGGCGGCAATTGGATGACCAAGCCGTCAGAGGGCTGTGGACGTGCAGCTCTGTCCAGTGACAGCACCAGTGTGAACGTGCTCCCAGAGAGCAAAGTGACATCTCCAAGAGAAGACATGACAGGCACAGTGCAGGCCCCCACCAGTAGCAACACCTCCTGGGGAGCCACAATAAACTGACGAGATGCAGTGGCTCATGGAATAAGAGAAGAAAAATGTCCTGAGCTGGGGAAGATGTGCATAGAAAGGGCTTCCCAGGGCCCAGGCAAAACTCGTTAGAGAAATCCACACCAAGCCACATCTGGCCAGATGAATGAACGACATGAAGAAAGAAAAATATCTATGAAGCACAAAGATGAAAACATAATCGTGATTTATTCCTTCAGGAGCTAAGGCACAAGGCTCACAGGCTCACAGGAGTGCTGGGACCTTCATCTGCTGATGAGCTGAAAGACTGGCTGGTTGGTTCTCTGTTAGCCCACTTTCCACATTTTGAGCTTTGGGGAATTTGAAGTCTGCCTCCTTTTCCCGGAGAATAGGGTGGTTCTTAGAGACAGTCTGCTCCCCTGCTTGGAAGTGTGTTCTGGACTGTGTCTGCTTGCCTTCCAGGGCAGTCCCGCTGCTGGGCTACCTGCCTCAGGACCTGGTGCAGACCCCTGTGCTCCTGCAGCTGCATCCCAGTGACAGGCCCCTGATGCTCGCCATCCACAAAAAGAGTAGGTCCCTGTTCAGCAATAAACCCCAAAGGGTTTGGCAGGAACTAGAGCACTCTTAGGGCTTCTTCCTGAGGCCAGGCCCTGCTCTGACAGCTCAGATCAGCTAAGGACGAGCAGGTAGAGGCCGCCCCGCCTCCCTGCCTGAGGCCTGCTGTGGTCAGTGCTTGGGGAAGTCCAGAGAGCAGTACACTCATGTGGGCTCCTCTGTGGCCAGTTGTCCCTCAGCCTGAGTGCTTGGCATCGTGTTCTTACTGTTGGCTTTGGTGGTGGGTGGGAGGAGGGGAGACCAGTTCAGCTGTGACTAGGAAGGTACTGACCAGGCCGGGACAGTAGACGGCGTGTATCCCCACTAAGCCCAGTCCTCACAGATGCAGGTGATGCTCTGGCAAAGGTGCACGTCCTGAAATACGAGATGAATCAACCGCCTTTTTGCAGTTTAAATCAAAAACAGGGACGGGGAGGTAGAAAACAGTGGCTTTGAAGAGGTGTCTGCATCCTTAAAGTTTGCAAGTGATTCGGACCCGAGTGTATCTTGAAGTGGCTTTTCACTTTGTGAACACCGATCACTCCTCCTTGCGTGCTGAATGCTGCTTTCCTTTCCCAGTCCTGCAGTCTGGCGGGCAGCCTTTTGACTACTCTCCCATTCGCTTCCGCGCCCGCAATGGGGAGTACATCACGCTGGACACCAGCTGGTCCAGCTTCATTAATCCGTGGAGCAGGAAAATCTCCTTCATCATCGGGAGGCACAAAGTCAGGGTGTGAGTGCTCCGAGGGCCCACGGCAGCTCCAGGGCCCTGTGGGGATCCCAGGCCATCCTCACCTCCTGCTGCCTACCTGTGGGGGAGACCCAAGTGGATGGGCAGTGGGTGGGCCAGGGATCAGCTGCCCCCAGGACCTCATTCAGGCAGAGTGGCAAGCTGGCAGGTGACAGTCTGGGGGGCTGCAGGCAGGAGGCCACGGGCCCAGCCTCCTCCACCTCCCTTTTCTTACAAGATGAATTAAAACCACCCAGGGGCCCTTTGAACGAGGACGTGTTCACAGCCCACCCATGCACAGAGGAGAGAGCCGCTCAGCCCAGCGTTCAGGAGCTCACGGAGCAGATCCACCGGCTGCTGCTGCAGGTGGGCCCCACATCAGCCTTGTAGTCCACACCCCGCCAGAGCGCTTCAGCCCTGCCCTGAGCCCTGCTTCTGTCACATCCACCCAGGAGACCCCGGCTGTCCTCTGAACATCCCCATGGGGCCAGTTTGGGCACAATCTGTGCTGGTCCAAGACAGGCCGAAGCACCAGACTTTTCCCAGCCTTGCATTCACATGTCTCTGTCTGAACCACAGCACAGTCCCACGTGACTATGAACAGAAGGGCTTACTTGAGCCCAGAGTGCTGGGACCTGGCCCTGGAGAACTTGGGGACCTCGTACTCAAGGAAAATCAGTATAAGCGCAGTCAGCCCCGTGACCGAGTAGTTTTCTGCTTCCCAGTTATCATAGGCTGTGGAGTGAAACTCTAATTGCATTGTTTTTTGTCTTTAAAACCCCTCAGTACAGGAGTGGGTTGAATGAATTCTCTTTCAGGGGCATCTTCTCAGTGAATGCCTATCTGGGGACAGGGTACTGCGGGTAGAGGCCAGATGTCCAGATCTGGAGCCCGATCTTGGAGTTCAAACCCCAGCTTCCCTCATCCTTGCCATGTGCCCTTGGGCAGGCCACCAGCCTCTGTAAAGCAGGGCGTGTGGGGAGGACCAGCGTGCATGCAGCTCCATGGAGAGCTGGGCCAGCCTCAGCACGCCATAGCGCTGTGTTTTGTCTCCTCAGCCCGTGCCCCACAGTGGCTCCAGCGGCTATGGGAGTCTGGGCAGCAACGGGTCCCACGAGCACCTCATGAGCCAGACCTCTTCCAGTGACAGCAACGGCCACGAGGAGTCTTGCCGCAGAAGATCTGTACGTCCCTCTGTTCTTTTCCCTGAGAGAATGTCGTTTAATACATGCTGAAAATTTAAAAGTACATTGAAAAACCTTTGGCAGCTACCAAAGCCTTTGTAGTCTCAGCTGTTTCTGCCTGCTGACTACACCGTTCACCTGGGATTTGTTCTGTAGTCTCTTAAGAGTTGAAGCAGCTAAGAACTACATATAGTTAAAGGTTTGGATGAAAATTTCTTAAGACAAGTAAACAAGCAGAAGTGAATATTTAACTGTAGGACAAAAAGAAAATGTGCTGTCTTGCTTTGTTTCTGTCATCCTTTAAGATCGTGAACTAAGTGTTATCTAGCATTGCGTCTCTCAGAGTTGTTTGGAATTTTCTCCTGTGTTGCTGGAATTATTTGAGCTGCTCTCTGTTCTCAGTGTGGGGGACAGACTGAAGGAATAATGATTTGTTCATTTTGGCTTTCTTCAAGGAAATCTGTAAAAATGGTAGCAAGACCAAAAGCAAAAGTCATCATTCTCATGAATCTGGTGAACAAAAGAAAAAATCTGTTGCAGGTAAAAAAAAAAAAAAAAAAATACATATATATATATATTTTTTCAACCTTTCCTTAGTAAGACTTGAGTTTGGCAGAGTGCAAAGAGGGAGCTGGTGTAATGTTAAACGCATGGCAGGGGACCGACCTTTAAGTGTGCGCAGCCCGCTCCCTTGTCCAGCAGAGTCCCAGGCACGTGAGCCTTCCTTTACTCTGCAGAGGCAGATGCTGCTGTCTCTGCTGGCCCCAATGCCCCACAGACCTGTTGAGGCCTGGCCAAGGTGTGCTGTCCTGTGCCCAGGCCCCGCCTGCGGAGCATGCCCAGGCGCTGTGGCCTTGGCTGCTTGTCCGTTCTACAAAGTGGCCGTCTGGCCATGCACATACACGTGTGAGCACACGAGCTCACACGTGCACACAGCAGCCTCAGGAGAGTCTGCCCAGCTTTCCCACAACCACTGAAAACCAAACCTGTCTGATGTGGAAGGTGCTGGCTCCTGCACGGGGCTGTCAGCCCACCCTGTCACCACAGCACAGCAGTGGGTCCCTCCTCACCACATTGTGGCACTTCCCAGGCAGCATCACACCTTTCTGCTTGGGTCCTGCTGTCCCCTCTGCCTAGCATGCGTTTGTCACACAAGCACATGCACACACGCGTGCATATGCATTCGTGTGCATGTACATGCTCACGTGCATGTACACACATGTGCAGCCCAGTCCTCTCACCCTGGTGGGCTCTCACTCATCCTCTGCACTCAGTCCCTGCCTCCTGCAGGAGGCCTCCGAGGGGAATGTTGGGGCACACAGCACACTCTGGCCTGCCCCATGTCTCCTCCTGGCCAGACATCACCAGTAGATTTGGCTTTTGGGACATGCTGGTAGACATGTTGCATGCTGGCCTCTGTGCTGGGTGTTGGGGACCCAGTGAGGAGCAGGATGTGCTCTTCACTCAAGGGCCCAAGGGCCACAGGCATGTGGTGTATGTGGTGAGGACAAGTATAGAATCCACAACACAGTGCACAGGAGACAATTATTGTTACAGTCATTATTACCAAGGATTGCCTTTGAAATCAGTGGCCTGCCCAGGAGAAACATAAACATAAAGCATCTGGGATCTCTTGGCCCTGTCAGGGAGTTCAGATAAAAACTGGTCTCTCCCACTGCTGACTCCCTGGGCTCTGGGGACAGCCTAGACCCAGTGCCACTGAGCCCCAGGGACAGCCCCGACCCAGTGCCACCGAGCCCCAGAGAGAAGCAGGCCCCAGGCTCAGTGACAGCTCCCTCCAAGCTCCCTCTGTAGTGACTCCATGATGCTCACACCAGCAGGGCTGCCAGAGATCAGGCTGTTGCAGGGTTTCTGTATCTGTGAAGCATAGTCTGAGTCCTAGACTTATCTTCAGGTAGAAGTAAAATGCTTTATAAATACAGAGTGTACTGTTTGGGGAAATAAAGTATTAAATGAAAGAACAATTTTGTCATCCCTTCAGAAACACAAAGTAGCCCCCTGGCTCATATGAAAGCTGTCTCTGCCATGGAAAAGGACAACCCAGGGGCCAGCTTAACCAGGGCCGGCTTCTCAGAGGAGCTGGCCTGCAAGGACCAGCCTGCCTGCTCCTACCAGCAGATGAGCTGCTTGGACAGTGTCATCAGGTACGCACAGCGTTTCTGGATTTCCGCCTTTGTTCTCGCACTCTCCCCCCTCGCATGTGACATGAGGCGGTCCCAACCCTTTGCACAGGTACTTGGAGAGCTGCAGCGAGGCCACCACCCTGAAGAGGAAGTGTGAGTTCCCAGCACACGTCCCCACACTGAAGGCCAGCGATAAGCGAAAGGCCATGGTCAGCCCCGGGCTGCACTCCGGAGGTATCTTACCTGCTTTGAGCTGTTAAATGTGTAGTTACTTAAATCCTCTGCAGTGTAATCAGATGTCATTTTAAGACCCGAACTGCCCCTTCTTTTCTCCTGTACTAATTCTGAGTGGCTTCCGTGATTATGGCATAAGGGCGTAGCCTATTTTCTAAATGATCAAAGGAGTTCAAAAGTCAGCAACCTTCTTATAAGCTAGAGGTAAAGATGATTGTAGTCTTGGAGCTGTGGGCTCTGAGAACGAGTTGGGGCTGCTGGAAGTGTGGGGATGTCCTCTGGGTCCCCCCCCACAGCCATGCTAGTCTCGTTGTCATTCTAGGGTAGGCCCCTTTCCAGTGTGTGTGTGGGGAGCCCTTGCCTGGATGTTAGTGTGCCCCATAAATCAGATTACATCTCTGGCTGCTTGAACGTTGAAAATGTTGCTGACGGTCATTGCAAGAATCAGAAATAGGGCATCCCGCTGTGGAATGGAGCGCAGGGCTGGATAGTCACACACAGAGAAGCTGAGTGAACTGCCTGCCCACAGCACCCGGACTGTGTCGGCTTCCGACTGTCAGAGAAGCCCCTCACCACAGGCCCGGGCCCAGAGTTCCCGCAGCCAGCGCTGCTGCGCCTACCCCCGTAGGACCCATGATTTAAATGTGTAACTGTCTACGTGTCAGAATTCCCTCTTCTCCACCCTTCCCCTGTGAATAAACATTGAGGACAAACATCACATGCCCAGGCCGAAGTGTCTGTGGGATGGATGTGTGCAGCCCAGCGTGTTGACTGTCCAGTCCCACGGGTAGTGGGGTGCTGTCTAGACGGGTGGTGTCCTTATCTGCATGGCTCGCTCTAATCGCCCCTTTGTGTTTGCTTCCATTTTCTCTTACGAAGAAGCAGTGCTGCCCTCCAAGGTGAACAGCCACGCGGAAGTTAGCGCCCACTTAACCTCGCTGACGTTGCCTGGCAAGGCAGGGAGTGTGGTGTCTCTCACCAGCCAGTGCAGCTACAGCAGCACCATTGTTCACGTGGGGGACAAAAAGCCACAGCCTGAGTTAGGTATGCTGTGTGTTCTTTGATGATATTGGGAGTGACTGGATTTTTGAAATAAAAATGAGAAGTGCGACTGCCATCTAAAATATTTCTTTAATTTTATCTAAGTGCATAAGAACCCTGCCATAAGCCCAATAAAGGTGTTCTAGGAAGTCCAGCTGCATGACGTGCAGGGGTGGGGTGCACTAGCCAGGCCAGGCCTACACCTGCCCTGGTCCCTGCTGCGCTCCGGCGCCGCCTGCTGGCGGTGCCTGCTCCGGCATAAATACAGAGGGCCAGCGTGGGGAGTGGGGGGACACAGACCCCTCAGTGGGTGCTGAGAGAAGAGTGGGAGCAAGGCCCCCGCCTCCCCACTTCCCTGCATGGGGTTGGGGCCTTTCCTCTGCCCAGCCTCCCCCTCCCAGCAGAAGGTGAGCCTGTCAGCCCTTGCTGTTCAAGGACAGGAGCCAGTCCAGGTCGCAACAAGACTTAAAACCAAGTGTGTTTGTGGCCCAGTTTTGTTCTTCAAAATACTGTGATTGAAGTGAATCCTGAGTGTGGCCTTCACGAGAAAGGGAGAAAATGAGGGAAAGAGTGCTTGTCAGGGATTCAGTCCCAAAGCCCTCCCTCTCAGGACGGTCTGTGGCCCCTCCGTCCCTTGTCCCACCTGCCCCACAGGCCCACATGGTCTGACTGTCTCTGGGCGTGGTCCCGAGCCTGGAGGATGCAGCATGTCAACCTTAGCACAGTGTGTTCTAGAAGCCAAGGCAGCCCAGGAATATTTCCACAACAGAGTTGAAACCCTGAGGCTCCCCACACTTCAGTTCACTGCTCCTGAGCCATGGGTAATCAGGTTTTCTCGTCACTGCCTTTGCCTTTTTACTGTGCATTTCTGAGAAAGCTAGACAAAGATGTTGCGAATTTCATCCTCATGCCGTGGGCATCTCATGAAATGACTTTATATGTGAATGATTTGTCTTGCTCATAAGCACAGTGTGGGCTTAAGATAAAAGAGGCACGCATGGATTAGAGGCCTGGGGTCTTGTGTTACAGAGATGGCAGAAGATGCTGCGAGTGGGCCAGAATCCCTGGACTGCCCGGCGGGCCCTGTGCTGCCCTGCAGCCTCAGCCAGGGGAAGGAACCCTTCAGGACGCTGGGCCTCACCAAGGAGGTGCTCGCCGCACACACCCAGAAGGAGGAGCACAGTTTCCTGCATAAGTTCAAGGAAATGAGAAAGCTCAACGTTTTCAATTCTCACTGCCACTCTTACCTACAAGAAAGATCCAGGGGGCAGTCGAGCGAACAAGGTAAGTGACTACCTGAATTAAGGGTGGATTTTTAAAATTGTATTCCAACCCTTGACCTTGGTGTTATCAATACCATACAAAAATTTTAATCTTAATCGTACTGAGTCCAGCACTGGTTTCAAAATGTAAGATGTCCCCGATTTGGGAAGTGTTCATTTGTACGAGGTGGCTGTTGGGATTTTGCTGGTGATGCAATCCGTCCCCACAGAACTCCCAGCCCAGGGGATGCAGCCAGGGTGGTTACAGTGCTGCCGTGCCCGACATTTCTTGTCTGGGTAGCTGCTGGTGCTGATGGAGCATTGGTGCTGGGCTCCTGAGGAAGGAGGGAGTGAACCATGTCCTCCCCAGGGGGCACACCTTCCTGGCTGGACTGGCCTTGGGGCCCAGCTGCAGACCCCAAAGGTAGGCAGAGCCCATGGTGCGTGGAGCTGCTCCTCAGGCCATGAGCCACCAGGTGGTCAAAGATCAAGGGAAGATGTAGAATAGACCGACTTAATCGCCCCTTTTCCGGTCCAGGAGCCTGGCTTCTGACCCCCAGCCATATACCTGTACCCCATGGATGGGGCCTGTATTGGTCAGAGATGCCACCTCTTCCTTGGCTTCCTGAGGCTCTGGCACAGGGATCAGAGCGACTGACCCCAGGAGAAAAACATACCACAAGGACCAGCTCCCCTGGGTCTCTGGGCAGACTCACCACAGGGAATGTCTAAGAAATTGAAGAAGCCTACAGCCTTCTTCAGGATGTGTCTTTTCCACTCTCCTCTTTCTGAGACGCAGGGTTACTGACAACCCACAGGAAAACTCTGTGCAAATTAGAAAAAGGTGTCCCTCCTTCATCCTGAGCAGACCCACCGAGCGGGCCCAGCTCAGTGCAGAGTTCTAACTCCCACTTGTCCCCTAGACCCAACAGTTTGTGCAGTGCAGAGTGTACAGCAGTCCAGGGCAGCCTTGCCCATCCCTGGAGGTGGTATCCCAGGAGCCCAGTGCTTTAGCCAGTCGTCCCACAGTGGACAGATTCCTGCGGGAGGAACACCATGTAGAGGGGCTGAAGTGTAAAACCTCCCCTCACACCGCAGAGTGCCTCACGCCTGTCTCAAAGGTGTGGAACCCCTGGGCACTCATGCTGCAAGAGTCCCGAGTTACTCTGTGTGACATGAGAGGAGAACTGAGGGAGGCACTGGGGACACACCCAGGGCCGAGTCCCTCTGTCCTCCTGAAGAAGGCCTTATGTCAGCAGCACTTGTCATTGGAGAGGAAGAGTTTGGTTCTGAGGGCAAATGTTCCTCTTCGATCTTTCGGCTTCTGCTCAGGCTTCATTTGACAGGTGAAACAGAAAATGTCTCTCTTTAAGAATAATAATGTTAAGCTTGTAAAATTGAAAAATAAGGATAGGTAAGGTGAGCGGTTCTACCTTTCAGATCTCACAAACCAGTATTTTTTTCCCCAAGTGCTGGGTACTGGCGAACAGTAGAGACTAGCCAGTTTTTTGGGTTTTTTTGATACATAGAACCTTTTTTTAATACCACTTTCCACATTAGCATTTCATAAAAGAAAGGACATTTTAATACCAGAAAAAAGGACATTTTAATTGATCCTGCAATTAAGGTTGGACCATCAGATTGATGGAATTCAGTTTTATGAAAAACCTAATGTTTTGCCCTGATTTTTCTCACTTCACTGAGGATCAGGGAAAACTGTATAAGGACCAGACGGGCCCCAGGTTGGAATTTGGGAATACAGGACTGTTGATCTAAGAGATGCCTTCAAGTTTCTGAAATTCTACAAGTCTCCAAGAATTGCAAAATAGGAATTACATACATTTAAAATTTTAACTCTGGTGGTTTTTCCATGTTTTAGCTGCCCATGGACTAAGAAATACTTCTGGAATAGAGTCAACTTGGAAAAAAACTGGAAAGAATAGAAAACTGAAGTCCAAACGGCTCAAGCCAATAGACTCCTCTGAGAGCACTGGGTCTGGGGACCCCGTGCCCCACCGGCCCCCACTCATGGGCCTGAACACCACGGCCTGGTCACCCTCAGACACATCCCAGTCTAGCTGCCCCGCCATGCCCTTTCCTGCCCCCATGCCAGCTTACTCCCTGCCTGTGTTTCCAGCTCCAGGGGCCATGGTGGCACCTCCTGTGGCTCCCCACGCCAGCCTCACAGTGCCTGCTATGACCATGGACGCACAGCATGAATTTGCAGTCCAGCCCCCGCCATTCACTGGCCCTTTGGCCCCAGTCATGGCGTTCATGTTACCCAGTTATTCCTTCCCTCCAGGGACCCCGAGCCTGCCACAGGCCTTACTCCCCAGCCAGCCTCACTTTCCAGGCCACCCCCCACTCGTGTCCGAGGTGACCCCTGCCCCACAGCCTGAATTCCCCCGTCGGACCTCACTCCCCAGACAGCCATGCACTTGTCCAGCCACCCTGCCATCAGCCACTGGAGCCACAGGCAGGGCCTCCCCACCGCTCTTCCAGTCCCGTGGCAGCTCACCCCTGCAGCTCAACCTGCTGCAGCTGGAGGAGGCCCCCGAGGGTGGCACTGGAGCCACAGGGACCACAGGGACCGCAGCTGCAGGGCTGGACTGCAAACTGGGCACTTCTTGGGACCAGCAGCCGAAGGCACCTCCAACTGTAAGGGTTTCCCGATGCTGTTTCTCCAAAGCAGGTCCTTAGCTCAGACATGGGTGGTTTTATGCACTGGAGATTTCTACCAGACTTTGTAGGTTGTGACATAAATATATGTGCCAGAAATTAATGTTTCCCAGTTAAAGGATCCTATCAGAGTAGATCATTAGGAGCTTTTTATTGTCTTGGGGTCTGAACGAAGGAGGATAAGTTGTTTGTGGTCAATGATGAGTCCGAATAGCAGCATGTGACTTACGGAGAATATTTATGGGCCTCAAAGTTTTAAATGCGTCTTCAAAGACAGCACAATCTAGTTCAGTTCCAGCACTAAGGCTTCTTGGAGAGTGGTGGCAGAGAGCCTGACTCAGGTGCCCCCTGCAAAGGAGGAAGATGAGGAGGGACGTGCCTGAAACCAGCCTTGGCCCAGCTTCCATCCTCCAGAGCCTTAAGCACACTAAGGGTTACGAGTATTGATACTCAGTTGAGGAAATTTTCATTCGACGTCCAGTTAAACACTTGTGTGCTTGCAGACGAGCTCGGCGTGTAGCAGTACAAGCTGCCAGCCACAGGCGCTCAGGAGAGGGGCTGTCTTGGGGGATTCCCCACCTTCGGCACCTGTACGAGGATGTGGAGCCTGGGAATGTATATTGGTTCTTCCAGTTGTCCACCACCCTGCTGAGTCCTGTTTCTGGGGCCCTGGATCTATGGTCCGGGTTTCCAAGATTCTGAGGGTCAGGGGTGCTCCCCAGGCCCAGCCCCTCCTCGCTCCCAAGGCAGCCCTCCCCCGGGTGTGCAGAGACCCCCCACTCTGAGGAGCAGGCTTTTGGAGTGCTGCGGAAAGCCCTTCTCTGATTCCATGTCTGCCGCACACAAGGAAGGGTTTGTGGCTGAGGAACAGCAGAAGCTTTTCCTCGCTGGGATTAAATTTTGTTAGATGTTATATTAGTCCGTTTCTGTTGCTTATAACAGAAATACCTGGAACTGGGTGATTTATCAGAAAATGAAATTTATTGCGTACAGTTTGGGAGGTTGGGAAGTCCAAAGTCCAGGGAACACATCTGGTGAGAGCCTTGTGGTGGCAGCAGTGACCCAGGGGTCTCATATGGCAGAATGGTGGAGCAGAGAGAGAGAACTTCTTCGTGCACGCTCCTTTTAAAGCCCGCAGAACCACGCCCACGACCACCACCAAGCCACCAGCTTAATCATCTCTTCAAGGCTCTGCCTTTCAGTTACCATAAGAGGATTTCCCACCCTCAGCGGTTACAGGGGGGATTAATTTGGGGGGGGGGGCATTCAATCCAAGGCAGATGACATTCATAGAGCACCAATGACATTCTCTCTGTAGTCCCTTAACCGTGGAGTCTACTCCTTTGGCCTTCCTTGGCACATGAAGGAAGGGCTCATGTTCTGTTTGGCACCTCGTGTGGACAAGCTGCTCAGCAGCTCTCCCTCTGCCCCACCCCTGCACTGTACCCCTGCTGTGTGTGCTGCGTCACAAGCAAGCCCCCGTGAACAGCGGTGTCTTCTTCTCCCTGTCCCTGAAGCATGAGGAGCCCTCAGATGCCCAGAACAGTGACGCCCTCTCCACATCCAGCGAGCTGCTCAAACTCTTATTGAATGAGGACCTCTGCTCAGCCACGGGGTCAGCCCTGTCTGGGAGTGGGGCTTCCGCCACCTCGGACTCTCTGGGCTGTGACACATCCAGGAGCGGGGCAGGTATGTTGGTCCTGGGACGTGGGCGCTTGGATGTTGGATGCATTTTGAAGATTCCCCCAGGATAGACTGCACAGAACCACAGGCTGACATCCGTGCCCAGGGCAGGTGCCACTGGTGCTCTCGAGCGGCCCCTCAGAGCCCACGTGGTTCACACACACAGACACTGCTCCTGCCTGTGCTGTCCCGGCTTGGCGTGGCAGGCCCTCTCTAGTCAGAATTCCACATCCTACCTACCTCTTCACTTCGGATTTCAGTGTCACTTCAGATCTCACCCCCTGCCAACCCCTTGCTGGGCCATCCCTTGTAGTCCCCAGGTAGTAGTTTACCTTCCTGAGTTAGTTCTACTCAAATGAAATAGGGTAAGGACCACCTGCAAGCCTTTATAGACCAGGATCTTTCCATGAAGCTTTGTCAGCCAGAAATGCATACACTGTCCACAAAACCCAAGCTCCCTCCTTCCCTGAAGTGTGCTTGCACTTCACCTGGTTTGCAGCCTCTCTGCCTGGGTGAGGCCAGCTGGGGAGCTCTCCAGGCCAGCTGCTTTTCTCTCAGGAAGCCTCGTGTCGCTGTGGTCCGCACTGAGTCAAGAGATAGTGGGCACTTGGGAAAGAAGATCAAGGTTTCTAAGACACGACCCCGCCTGAGCATCTTGGGGCCTCCCCAGGAAAGCATCACCTCCATGGTGCTAGCAGATACCCTGTTTTCTAAGTATCTAGATGACTTGAGAATCAGAAAGATAAGGAGGACATTGATGTGTACAATCAACTGTTACAATTTTTTTTAAAAAATTGGTTTTGGCCTGAGTCTGGCATACCTAATTGCTTTTTAAATACACTTTGTAAAGCAACAACAAAAAGAGAAAGATAAGGGGGAAGTCCACCAACAGACAATGGTAACCTAATGAAACTCTTCAGTTCTCTACAATTGTCGTCACTGTATAAGCACATGGTGCAAGGTTTAATTTCATTTCAAGGTTTTAACTGGCCACATTTTGTGTTTAAAGGCAGTAGTGACACAAGTCACACCAGCAGATATTTTGGAAGCATTGACTCTTCAGAGAATAATCACAAAGCAAAAGTGAATGCAGACACGGAAGACAGTGAGCATTTCATCAAGTACGTCCTGCAAGATCCCATTTGGCTGCTGATGGCAGACGCGGACCACAGCGTCATGATGACGTACCAGCTGCCTTCCCGGTAACCACTCGGCCTTTGCCTCAGAGCACGGGGAGGGCTGGCCTCAAGGAGCTTCCAAAACCCTGAGGGCATCCAGCCAGGGTAGGCGCCCCTCTGGAAGCCCAAGCTTAGAGCTGGTTGGTGTGGTAGACAAAGATGTGGGGCTCGCTCCTGTGCCGCCACAGGGCCAGCAGGGCCCTGCAGTGTGACCAGTGCAGGCAGAGAGCCCTGCAGAGTAATACCCTACAGTCTGTGAGGAAGGCTGGCTCCTGGCATCTCTTCCAGGTGTCACACAGCTTTTTGAAGCATTTTTGACAGCGTCATCTCTTTTGCTCTGTGCCCAGTGACCCCGTGGGGTAAATGAGGTGTGTGTGTCTGCCTTAGAGTTAAAGGAACCAAGGGTCAAGGTGGGTGACCAGCCCAAGGCTGCCAGCTGCTCGTAGTGACCCTGGGTCTGTGCGCAGGCTCTGAGTCCATGTTGGGCTGCTCTGTGGAACTGGACGTGGTCCCTATCGCTGCAGAGCACCCCCTTGGTAGGGGAAGCTGGGACGGAGCGGGGGAGGGAGGAAAGATTAACCCCTGAGATGAGAACAGCCAGGCCTCTGGTCATCAGGGAGGTCAGGGCTCCATCTCCAGGGCAGCTGCAGTTCAGCCCAGTGCCAGCCAGTGGCGGAGGAAGGTTCTGCTTTCTACCACCCAGATAGTAAGAACCTCTTGGGTTCACCACGCTCTGCAGAACCAAGCCTAAGGGGACAAGCTTGCACCTGCAGATACCCAGCCCCCACATCTAGTTCAAAGTAAACCAAAATCTTGACCCGGATTAGCATTTTAGTAGAAAGGCTACAGATGATTTACTCAGGAGATTAACTTACTTTAAACAGAGTAATTTATTTTAATTTGTTGTTGTTGGGGTAATTTATTTTAAATGAAAAGGAAATTTGCATTAAACAAAACTGTCTACAACTACATTATTACAATTGAAAGAATTTCTAGAAAAATGAGTTTTTTTTAGAAAGAAAACAAAAAACCCTAAGAGGTTGTAAACGTTTTCTTTTTCTAAATATTTTGTGAAGAAATTTAGAAACGGTTTTAAAGGAGGACAGAGAGAAGTTGAAGCTGCTGCAGAAATCCCAGCCCCGGTTCTCAGAGGGCCAGAGGCAGGAGCTGCAGGAAGTGCACCCGTGGATGCAGGCAGGCGGCCTGCCCGCGGCCGTGGACGTGGTGGTAAGCTCGGAGCGCTTGTCTTCTCACGCAGGGTCCAGAGGCACCATCGTGGGAACTTTATACTGTCTTTGCAACTTTTCTGTAAATTTAAAACTCCTAAAATTAAAAGTTTATCAAAAAAAAAAAAGGTAGTGTGACACTAAGTCTACTTGAGAGAACTTTCTTCCAGTGGCTTCTCAACCTTGTTTCTAAACAGATTTAAATATCAAATTGCAATTGCTTGCTGAAATTTGAATTTGTTTCCTCTCTTTAAATTATGTTTTCTATTTAAAAAAAAAACACGAAAACAAAAAACAAAACACCTCTTCTGTCATAAACCCTCACCCTCCATGCAGACCATGAAATTGCATGAAAATAGAGTTGCTGCCCTTATGTGCTGACCAGGCTGCGTCCCCTGCCCCCTGCCCCGCAGATCCCTGGTCCTTCCTGAGTTTCAGAGGCGTGCACATTCCAGCCCCTCTCTCTGGGCTCTCTCCTGACACCCCCTGCCCCCACGCTGTGGAAGTTGCTCTGGGCAGGGTCTCAGGGTCCTCCAGCCGCTGACTGGGGTGCCGTTTCTCAGTCCTCGTCCTTCAGAACCGTTGGCAGCAGTTAGTGACAGTCACTGTCCCTCTCCTCGGAGCTCTTCCTTCCCTTGGCCTCCTGCTCTCCCCGCTGGCTCCTTCTCTCCTCCCCACCTCAGGCTCAGTGTCTGCACCTCTCTCCTCTGCCTGCGCTCGCTCTGGGATTACCCCTCTCACCCAGCGACTGGAGATAGCGCCAGATCCGTCTCCATCCCAGCCCTCTGTCCAGCGCGATGTTTCTAAAACCCAGCTCCTAATTACCCTCGCAGAAAACCACTCCCCCGTTCCCTTCCCATCTCACTCAGGGTGACTCCATTGTTCCAGCTGCTGAGGCCACAGACACTGGAGTCACCCAGACTCTCCTCTTCTGTGCAGTCCAGTCCATTACAAATCATAGTGGCTCAACCACCCAGCTGACAGAAGTCAGCCACTGCTCATAACCTCCATTGTCACCATCCTGGTCAAAGCCTTGGCGACACTTCCCTTGGATGTCAGAGTAGCCTCCCGGCTGTACTTGCTGCTTCCTTTGTCCCCTGCAGTCAGATCGCGCCACCCCTCAGCCCAAATCCCTTCCAGCGGTGCCCTATCTCGGTCAGAATAAATGGCTGCAAAGCCACGCAGATCTGTGCCCCCGACATCTCCCACCTCATCTCCCGTTGCCCCTCTCCTCCCAGCTACACTGGCCTCTTGGCTGTTCCCTGAACTGCCGCAGGATCTCTGCACCTGCCTTTCCTTCTGCCTGGAGCCTTCTTTCCTCAGACAGACACGTGCCTCGCTCTGGCTTTCACATCTTTTTTTCCACCTGCCGCTTTCTTAGTTATCTATTGTTGCATAATGACCCCAAAACTCAGTGACTTCAAATTATAAACATGTATTTTCTCGTGGTGTCTTTGGCTCAGGAATTTGAGAGCAGCTTAGCTGGGGGGCTCTGGCTCAGGGTCTCTCCTGAGGTTGGAGGCAAGACAGTGGTCAGGGTGTCTGATAGTGGTCAAGCGGAGGTGGAGGATCTGCTTCCATGGAGACTCCCTCACAGGCCTGCTGGGCGTGGGGGAGGGTGGCTATTGGCAGAGGCCTCAGTTCCTCACCATAGGGACCTCTCCACAAGGCTGCTTGGGTGTCCTCATGCCATGGCTGCTGGCTTTGTAGAGAGCAGGAGAAAGCTGGGTGCCTTTTATGACCCAGTCTCAGAAGTCACACACACTCTGTTAGAGGCAAATTCCTAATCCAGCCCACGCCTGAGGGGAGCGGAATTAACCTCCACCTTTTGAGGGAGGGGAGGCAAAGAATGTGTGGACGTGCTCTAAAACCACATAGTTACCGTCTCTGTGGCCTTTTCCGAAGGTCCAGTTTAAAATTACAGACATCAAATAGAAGGAAAAAGACAAATAATAATAATAATAAAGATGGAAAAAATGACAGGTGTCCTCCACGCACTCTCTGCGTGGCCTGGTCCACCTCAGCACAGCACTTCCCGTCTTCTGATGTACCACGGGGCACTTTTTGTTTAGTTTACTGTCTCACTCCTCTACCAGAATGTCAGCTCCAGGACTAGGACTTTGTCTCTGTGGCCATCATCCTCACAGCCGTCCCCTGGTCAGCACCTCACTCAGTTTGAACAACTTTTTTGTAACAAAAATCTCAAATATCATGTTTGTTACTGATTTCACATTTTTTTCTTTTAAGGAATGTGTTTACTGTGAAAACAAGGAAAAAGGCAACATTTGTGTACCGTATGAGGAAGATCTTTCTTCTCTGGGACTCGCTGAAGCATCAGATACCAAAGAAAAGAAACATGGACCCTGCTTGAGTCACACGAACCAAGAACAGACGTAACCCTCCCCTGCCACAGCCCCAGCAGCCAGTGATCTGCACTGGGTGGTGTTGGAAGAGAGGCGAGAGCTTCACGCCTGTTTCTAATGAAGTGGACATAGGACATATGTACTTAGGTGGCTCTTTAATAGTTTTCTGGAGTGACAACTGTGGAGGGAGGGGAAGGTTTGGGAAGAAATATGCTTTTATATGTAAAATGTAAATATGGAGTTTGGGGGATGGAGGAAGAGATTATAGTTGTTATTTAACATGAGGAAGATTAGACGTTGCCCTGGTGCTCTCAGAAGTCCTTCGACCACCATGAGACTTCTGGCCAGAGCACGAGTGTCCACTGGCCCTCTATCGTCATCACGAGGCATCATACCAGGCTGTGACGAATAACCAGGATGCCACATGTGACTCTGAGCTGAGGGCTCTGGCCTTCTGGAACTTTTCCAAGGTGTGCTTGGATCAGATCAATTCTGTCCTGTCTTGGGGGCTTGCTGTTTATCTAAATTAGCATTTAGTCAAGCTACATTTTTTTTTTTTACCTACCAAGTGGAGATAACACCCTCTCCTAATTTCTTTCAAAATGTTTCACATTCAGTGGTATGAAGCGTAGTGAGGCAAACCAACAGCTTTGGCATCGGGTGCTGTAGTGGTGACATCCCGATCTAAAGTGTCCTCTGTAGTTGACAAAGTTGAAATTCTCACTCTGAACTGAAGAAGCTTAGTGGTTTGCGTGACCAGCTCCGACAGATTCATGCACACCCAGACCCTCTGTCTCTTTCTACGTCATTCTTGTATCCTTATCAGACCATGATAGTCAATGTGTAGATAAAAATTTATCAGTCATCTCTTTACGGTGCCTTCTGCACACCAGGCTTTTTTTTTTTTTTTTTTTTTTTCCTTTTTTTGAGACCGGCCGCACCGCACTCAGCCAGTGAGCGCTGTGAGCGCACCAGTCATCCCTATATAGGATCCGAACCCGCGGCGGGAGTGCTGCTGTGCTCCCAGCGCCGCACTCTCCCGAGTGCCCCACGGGCTCGGCCCTGCACACCAGGCTTTGACTGCCACATTTGGGACCCGGTTGTGTTTGTTCTTTGGTTGGAGTCTCCCGGGCATCCCCTCTGGCCCAGCCAAGCCAGCTTCTCCTCCTGGCAGAGAGCAGCCCTCTGCCTGTGCCAACCGGTGCCCTGTGGCTTCTGTGGCACCTGTGTTCTGGGGGCACCACCCCCACTCTATGAGCCTTGACTCCACATGGTACAGCTTCTGGTCTCTGCCAGTGTCACCAGCACTTTCGTCTCATTGGACGCTTGGGGAAGGATGAGGCCAAACTGCCCAACTTTTTACAAAACCACATGTTGCATTATATATCCCAAAGATTGTTTGGAAAAATGTAATATTGGCCCCTGGTGTGAGTAAGACGTTACCTCTGATGAAACGATGGACTTAAAATTGGACCAAGTCTATGAAGTGTAAGAAGCAGCAGGGTTTTCTTTGTTCTTTGATGGAGAAGCAGCTACGAGAAAGGTGACGTCTCCTTGTAATCCCATTGGTTTTCGTATTAAAACCATCTTATGCTCAAATATTAATCCTATTTTTCATAAACAAGAACACTTTATAAGTTTTTCTTTTTAATTTACAAAGCAGCATCACCTTCAGAAGCCCAAGATAAGGTCGTAGTCTGCATTTTTATGGAAATTAGATGTTACGAACTTTTCTGCCTCTAAAGTCAGATCATAAGGGGATGGTAGTCTAAGGTTACGTTTATGTTACCGAAACACAAAACTGCCAAAATGTTCTCACTCTACTGTTATGAATGTTTACCGTAAGCGTTATTTTATTATTTAAGGTATATTCACTGATTGTTAACTGTAGCTTCAACACATGCCGAGAAGTTGACGTAATAGGATCATTTTGTGAATTTGTTTACATGATGCCAAGCATCGAGTCATGTTTTCTTTAGTATGTGTGCTTACACAGGTGTCATAAAAACTTTGTTTTAAACTGAGCCTTCTTTTTAATATATTCCTAAAAAGATATGTAAATAAGCTCTCAGAGTTTGTGGAACGATGTGTCGAGCCTAGCCGGACAAGTGGTTTGTTCATGTGCAAACCAAACTTTCGTCACCCAGTGCAATATATTTGACTGCTTGTGTCTTTTCATGACTTTACTGCCTTTTAGAAAATTGATAAATAAAGCAAGTATATTTTTAGTTTTAGTTTTATGTATTTTTAATATAGCACAGAGGAAAACCTGAATAAAGATCAAAGATTATCACAAGATTTTTTTAAAAAAACATTAACTCCAGAAATTCTGTATGAGGGAATCCTCAGTCCCAAAGGCCTCCTCGTCACTTCCTGTGTACAGCTTGCTTCTTGCTGGTGTGTGTGTGTGTGTGTGTGTGCTTTCTATAATGCACATCTAATCATCTAATCATCATCTTTTCTCTTGCAAATGGAGGCGTGGCTGCTTGGCTCAGCCCCCAGAGCTCACTCCTCGCTGATCCCAGGCTCTCACCTTCATTCCCCACCAGGGGTTGTCAGGCCCACCTGGGCTGGCTGCCTATGTGGCCATGAGGCTGAAGGCAGAGAAGTCAAAAGGATGCCACATCAGAAAGGCCTTGTGTCCCCATCGGGAATGATACAGGCAGCACAGCACAATCCTCCCACCCCAGCCCTTCTTTCCTCACAGTGATGATGCCTTGGGAGCCCTGGCCAAATTGTGGAGGTCTGCACAGGCCTGCACCCCACTCCCTCCCACTTGTCAAACCAGGGCTTTGAGGGTTGGAGAACAGAGATGAGTGGATCCTGGACCCAACGCCCAGCCTCCCAGAGCTCCCAAAGCAGGAGGGAGGGCTTGACTCTGCCTCCGGGCCTGGCTGCCTACCTCCAAGTGCTGATTAGGGGACGAACGGTAAAGTCCTCCTAGTGAGCACAAAGGCCTCTGCAAACCGCCCTAAATATGGCTGTTTCATTGAACTTTTGAGAGCCTTTGGGGGACTCTTAATTGCATGTTTACTTGTCATATAACCCCAAGGGCACCCCCTCCTCCTTTATTTCCAAACCAAAAGGAGATTCTCTGAGTCTCCTGGGCAGCTTGCCCACAAGGGGCCTGGACGTCTGCCAGCTGGCCGCTGCTTTTGTTCCCCCAGGGATTTATGGCACGCCACCCCTGCTGCTCACCAGTCCTCCTGTGCAATCACGGCCTTGCCCAGCCTCTGCTGGCCTCCATTCCTGGTTCTGGGGGGATCTAAGGGCCCAAATGCTCAGGAAGTCTGTGCTCAGGCAAACTTTGAAGGCAGGATGGGTCCAAAGGACAAACAGCAGGAAGTGGGATGGCTTGGGGAGGCTCTGTGAAAGAGGGAGGGAGGGCTTGGTGGCCCCAAGGTGGGGTAGAGCCAAGCTTCTGGGGCAGACAGGCCAAGCAAGGCAGCCAATGGACCCACTAAAGGAAATTGAAGCTGACTTTGCAGATGGGATCATGGGCAACTTCCTGCCCAACCAAGAAGGACTTTGCTGACTCACACACTTATGATCTTTCCTCTCAAGGATGATTGATCACACCGAGGCATATTCCAATGATTAATTTCTCTTTCCCTCTACTCTAGACAGCTTCCCCTAAGTCCCACTGTGTCAGACAAGGCTTCTAAGGTCCCTAGCCCTCCCTTCAGCCTCCTCCCTCTCCCAGTTCCTGTCACTTGTCCTTTTGTTTTTACAAAGTCAACTTTATATCATGTCCTATAACCATAATTAAGCCTCTCTTGCCTTCTCTATAGATTGATTCTAAATGTTGAAACCCTGTGAACACTGTTGCATTGTTACAACTGTGAAAGAATTGTTAGCTCCTGAGCCAAGTAATGTGCTAAGATTACATTAATTTTCTTGGGCAGCTTTTTGTTTTTCCTGTAGTTCCTAGTTTCCTTTCATTTTTTGCTTGCACCGTTTGCCTTTATCATGTCCTCCTCTTCCCCCACATGTACTTCCCTGTCCAGTTAGGTGTTCTCTTGCTCTTTCTCCAGAGGCCTCCCCCAGGACCCTGATCATCCTGTTCCAACATGAACTGCCTTTCATAAAGAGCATTCTAAAACATCTATTTGGCCTGTTCACTTGGATAATGGAAGGGTTATGAACCAGTTTGCAAACTTGGAAGTTCAAGAAATGTCACTGAGTTTATTTTCCCCTATTTCAGTTTCTCAAAGTAGTGGAAACCGAATTGTAGTTGAAAGGTTCAGAAAGAATTGGTACCAACATGAGAAATCAGGCTAGAAGGAGTTGGCACAGGCAGCAGGGCAGAGGCATAGGGACAGAATCTAGCCTCACCTGCCCCCAGGGGGTTGGGCTTATATTTCTTCTTGTGGTGAGTTGTGCTGCTCTGATTGGCCATAGCTTATGTTAATGAGAAGTTAAATAAAATATCCAATGGGAGTTGTTGAGGCCTTACGTTAATCAGGTGATTTTTAGGTTTGTGATTATTGGTTCCCTTAGTGTATAAAGTAGGGTTTCAGGGGGGACCGATGGCATGGAGTTCTGTTGTGGTTATGAGTTCCTCTGTCTTTTTATTTTATGGGAAAGTGTCATAGGGCTGGAACTGCCCCTTTGAGTATCTTTGGATGGCACCATCTTAAGTAGTCCTCCCCAAACCTAATAGTAGTCACTTGGGGGGTCTCCATCCCTGAGGTGATGTCTTAAGTGGTGAAGGAGAGTAAAGTCACAGGCCAGCTATGGGCTCCCTTGGGATCCACCACTCCTGTACCTACCCTGTCAGCCCCACCACTATGAGAGGGAAGGGCAGTGGGTCTCTGAGCAGCTTGGGGAGGTTGGGTGGATGATAGCCAAGCTTTTTGGTTTGTGGAGGAGACTAAGGACAACAGGGTGCAGGGAGTGAAATAAAGGGGCAGGTTTACATCTGGGTGAGTGAGGGTGGGCTGGGGGAAGTCTCCGGGGCCTTCTCACAGAGAAGCAACCAAGGTAACAGTAGGCAGGAGGTGCTCCCAGGTCATACTTTTTTTTTTTTTTTAATTTTTTGGCAGCTGGTGGGTAAGGGGATTCAAACCCTTGACCTTAGTGTCATCAGCATCACACTGTACTGAGCGAGCTAACAGCCTGTCTCTCCAGTTGGTTATAGAGGTTAGTAAAGTGACTTTGAAAACCTTCAACTTCTCACAAAACTTGCTTTGCCTAAAGCCTGTGGGGTCACTCTGGAGGGGAGCCAGAAGTGAAGGGGCCACAGGAGAACTGCCAGACCAATCCCAGGGAGGGTTTGGGGGCAGGGGTAGCTGTGGCCTAGTTGGGCCACCCAGCCCAATGGCTGCAGGCCTTCAATATTCCCCTCCCCCTCAGCCTTCCAGCCAGGTTAGGGACAACCCCTCACCTTTGCTACCCAAGCCCTTCCACAGAGGCAGGCTCTGTGCTGGGAGGTGGGGAGGCGGTCCTAGGTCAGACTGTGCCCTTGACCAGGGACGTTCACAGCCAGGTGAGTACTTCAAGGCTGGGTAAGGGGCTGCTGCAGGGGTAAGCATGTGGCAGGGTGGGCCGGGTCCCACCAGGCAGATGGAGAGGGAACGAGATCTGCACAGTGAGGAGGCAGTCACTGCCGGGAGCGAGGAGGTGGGTGCAGCACGTCCAGGTGAAAGTCTCGGTGTGTGCGAAGTCCTGGCAGCGAGAAGGCATCTCGGCATCGGGCTGTGCCGGGACCGAGGCCCGTGGGGCGGGGAAGAGCCGGGTCCCCAGGGCGCTGCCCAACGGCGCGGCCCCGCCGCCCACGCAGCCCA